TGACTTAACATTTTCCGAGAATGGTATTTGTTTTTTGTTGAATCTTAACAGTATATTGTATATTATTGACGATAATCATCTATCAGATTCATCTGATAACTTTCTACCTCTATGGTCCTGTTCTCGTAATAATAATGAAAGAATCTACAGAACGTTTGCTCATGCATGTTACGCTTCGACGTTTAACAAATACAGTTTCGTGACTTGAAATATTAGTGCTTTTGTTTTGTTATTTTTTAAAACATTCACATAGCAATAATAACATGACAATAAAAATATAGAGTGATGTTCGGTTATGCTTTCGATTAGTTACGAGGTAAAATACTAAATGTTAAGGTTTTCACTAATTTTTCTTATGGTCGAACCCTAAGAGATAGGTTGAGAGACATAAGAACTTATATGGTTATCACTTAATGCAAATATATCTTGGCTAGAATTTTTAAATAAGGAATGAAGTAGGTATGATGGCATATATTACGCGACGTCTCGAAAATTCAGATCGATCAAATGACGAATAGATTTATGACGATCAGGTTCGCACTAATGAGTCTTCCCGATGAGCATGTTAAAGTAAATTCTTTTGTTTGCTCGACAGGAGATAGCCTGTCTAATACAGTTATTAAAGTCGTACCGTAGTGGCGTTTGCTGATATACTTGACAACTATCTACTCAACATAAGTTTCACAAGGATTCTGTTGAGTTGAAACAGTAGAAAAATGAGTGATTTGGTAACATATGAAGTGTAAGCTTTGTTACAAATAGCTGAGTATGCATTTGGATCACAGAAATTTGAACGCTTTTATAAGCCTATTTGCCAATTCTAACGGTGTAATAAAATCCATGTTCGTACCTGGATTCTGTTTATTTATTTATTTGAGCACATAAATATTGGTACAAGAGGGAACCAAATATATATGCTGCACACAAAACAATGAGAAATCGAAGAGAAATAAAGAACAATAACGAATAGATTAGTGTAAGGTACTGTAATGATAATAGAAATACTGGGTGGGACAGAAAGGTACAATCAGAAAAAATCTATAAGTTAAGGAAGAGACAACCATTTTTTTATGAAGTAAAAGAAGGTTACAGCAGGATCGCCACTGGCGTCAATTCTGAGCCATATATAATAACGTCTCTAACCGCTGTTTTGCACCATCTCTAGGACCCCGGCCAAGGAGTCGGGAAGGACCAACACAAGCCAGCCCTTCGCAGCTTTCTTTCATACCACGACACCATGTCATGCACTGACCACCTCTCCGCTTTATCCAACCAGTCCCAGAGTCGGCAAATAATGCACGATGTGGAATTCTCTGGGACGACATTAGTGAAACATGTCCAAGTCACCGAAGTCGGTGTTTCAAGATGGTGACACCTATTGCATTATCATCTCTGTGCCCGAACACACGATGCCGAACCTCTGCATTAATGACATGGTGTTGCCACTGGATGTCAGCAATCCTTCGAAGACAACGATGATGGAACACAAAGAGTCGTCTAACGTCCTCAACTCGGAGAGGCCAGGTTTCACAAGCATAGAGCAAAACTGCTCTCATCGACGCGTTGTAGATACGACCTTTTACAGCCAGACTAACATCACGGAGGCGCCAAAGGTGGCCCAGATTGGCATAAGCCGCTCTGGCTTTCATTATACGTGCATTGATCTCATCACTCACACCCCCACCAGCACTTATCCAGCTATCCAGATACACGAACTTCTCGACTACGTCTATCTGCTCACCATCCAGGGTGATTACAGGATTGGAATCCTGCCAGTCTTGTAGAAGTACTTTGCACTTCGAAGGTGCAAAGCACATACCATACCTACGGACACTGATTGCCAACTGATTAAGTGCGGATTGCATGCCTTGGGCATTATCGCACAGTAAGACAATATCGTCCGCATACTCAAGGTCGAGAAGTCTTTCTCCAGGCAACAGATCCACACCACCATTACTTACATTCATCAGAGCTGTTTCCAGAATGTCATCGATGGTAAAGTTGAAGAGGAATGGTGAGATTGGGCAACCCTGCCTAACCCCACTACTCGAATGGAACAATGGAGAGAGGTGGTTGTATGCCCTCACTCTGTCTGAGGTGTTTTTATATAGGGCCTTTAGGATGTTTATAAACTTCTCAGGCACACCCTTCTTCAATAGACAATCCCAGAGAACAGTCCTGTCCAACAAATCGAAGGCAGCCCTGATGTCAAGAAACACTACGATTGTTGGCCTTTGATAAGTATGGCGATGTTCTAACATTTGGCGTAGGGTGAAGATATGATCAATACATCCTCGACCAGAACGAAACCCAGCCTGCTCCTCGCGAGTCAATCTTTCTCGGGTTTTGAACAACCTACGAAGTATGACGGAAGCCAATAGCTTGGACGCAATCGGAAGTAGACTTATCCCCCGATAGTTGTTGCAGGAACGACGTGAACCCTTTTTAAAGATAGGGACAACTATCGACTCATTCCATGACGTTGGTACACTCTCTAATTCCCAAACCTTTGTAAACAACGTCGTCAATTCCTTAGTCAAAAAGTCACCACCATTTTTAAAAAGAGCCGGAGGTCAGTCATCTGGGCCAGGTGATTTGTAACGCTTCAAGAGTTGGAGTTCCTTGCGGACTTCCTTCTCGTTTGGTGGATCAGTCGTCACCGGCCATGGAGGGCAGGACAGTCTGACCGATGTTGCCGGAGCAGAAGGCCAGTTGAACTGCCCTTCGAAAAATTCTGCCCATCGTCCAAGACGTCGATGGATGTTAGTGATTGGCATCCCATCATCCTCGCAGATCGTTTCACTCACACCAGACTTCTTGCTGCTAGTGGCTCGGGTGAGCTGGAAGAGCTTCCGGTAGTTACCAGATGCAGCTGCTGCTTCCAGCTCATTAGCACGCTCCGATCACCAGGCTTCTCGGTCCTTACGCAAGCTTTACCCAATTTCCTTACGTAACATCCTTCGTTTATGGTCAAACTCACGGTCACCCGGAGTAGACCGACGGGCTTCAATGAGTTGTAAGGAACCAGAAGAAACCCGGTGCTTATAAACGGGACGTTTCGCAAACCCACAACTGACTGTTCCCGCCATTTTGATGGCGTCATGCAGTTGCAACCAATCCTCACCTTTACTTTTTGGTGGAGTGGTAGCTAGCCTAGATGCTAGCTCGGTTCTATACTTACTTGCAACAGAAATTGCATCCAGCTTGCTAATATCAATCCGTTGGTGGCGGTCACTTCGTTGTCCACCGAAAAGTCTCCGGCTAGTACTACAATATCTGTCGAACGCATTTTCCAGAGCAGAACAGTTAACTGTTGGTAGAATTCATTCTTAATTGCATCCGGGCTGCAATCTGTCGGGGCATAGGCGGAGATGACGAAAAGACATCGTTTCTCACGCCGATTTCTTCTCACTTTGATGGAACTTTCTAATCTAACAGCACATAACCGACTGTTAATGGGGATCCAATCGACTAGTGCTGCTTCAGCTCTAGCGCTTAGTGCGACACCAACGCCAGCAAGACCAGACGAAGATGCCACAGGGTCCCCGGATAAGCGCACGTAAAACAAGCTTTTCGAAGCGACAGATGGAGGTCGGATTTGTAGTACTTCGCCAGAGTCTTGAATACGGGTCTCGGATAGACAGCAAACATCGAATTAAGACTTTCTAAAGACATAGCCAGCCCTATCTGTTGTCCGACCTGCACTAGTGTGCGAACGTTGAAGGCAGCCAGTTTGAATGGTGCACGTGGTTTCAGAAAAACTGCATCAGTATTCGTATATTGGTGGCAGCATACAATTTCCAATCAGGCAGCGACTCGAGAACGTTTAGATACAGTCGAATTTCCACCAAAGACGAGCCGCTGTATAAGTATAAAAGAGGGTGAATAATGTGGAAAATAATAATAATAATAATAATAATAATAATAATAATAATAATAATAATAATGACAATAATGATAATAATAATAATAGTATTAATAATGACAATAATTGTAATGATAATAATTTGAATGAATTTATTGTTTTTCGAAGCGAGAAAGGTAATTTCCATAGACATAAAGAGTTCATCATTTGTGTGTGGGCTTTGATACTGCCCAGGTGCCCAAACCGAAGCAGGTGGTTATCTTAGGGGGCCACACCCGGAGCCTTTGACCTAATGGTCTAACCCACAAGGCAGTGGAGCATCGTGAGGAGATACAGTCCCATGGTAGACGGTGACCAACGATTGGTTCATATGCCATTTGTTCCCTTAGGAGACTGGAGCCCATGTGCAACATTGATTTGGTTTGGGATCCGGTTAAAGCTTCAGATATTCTCTTTTCGTCTTCTCATTTTCGTAAACAACACCCCCGCCACGGGAAAGCAGTGAGTAGAACTTACCTGGCAGAGGCTGTATGCGCGTGGCCGTGTGAGAGTATTTCGAGAGGGAGAGTGGACTCTCCCCACTCTCGGCCGTACCAGGTCGTTCGGGGGCACATGCCCATATAAAAACAGTCAAGGTTGGTAAACGAATAATTAATTAGGTCAACGTGTGAAGAATGAATAAATTGGCCTGTCCGGAAGTTAGAATGACCCATGTGGGCTTGACATAGAACTAGATACTACAGACTAACTTGATAATTCAAATAAATTAGTGCCAATTTATCTGATTGAAAGCACTAAATAACACCAGTTCATATATTTTTTAGAGAATCATCAGTAGCATCATGGTGCTTATTGTAAACAAAACCAAAAGTCTGACGCACGCTTTCTGCCCACTAAATATTGTGTACTGTGATGGATGCAATAATAAAAGCGAGCACAATATTCACAACCTGTGGTTTTTGAAGAGCTATTCACATTAACATCATATTTCTGATTCACAGTATGTTATTACAGAATTTACGTATCCAGTTCAGCATTACGTAGTTACATTGTTTCCATTTCGTAATCAAAAAATGAACTAGTCTTTCGGTTATAATTGAATGTTTACTCAGTATTTTTGAGTGTTTGCTTTAAAATGTTTCGATTTATGTTTAAATCTAGGTTAAATGCTACATATGAAGAATACATGAGTCTTTGTGATGCAATCAATACTGGTGTAACCACATCAGCTATTGCTCGTGGAGCTAGCAGACTTATAAGTGGTTACCAGTTGCCGGATCTTTTAAATTTGCCAACAACTTCTCTCAGAGTTAGTTCAGTAATTGGAGCGAATTCCTGTGAAATGGTAGTTTCTGCTGCACCAGTTGGTCGTACACCTTGTTTAAATACTGACCAATCAGCTTTGGAAGCTGCTGCTTCAGTTGGAACACCAGCACCAGATCCATCCACTGCCGCTGGTTATTACACTGCTGGAGGATATGAACCATTGGCTGCCGCTCTTGGTAATACATCTGGGCTTCCACCTCCTGTCCCAACAGGTATACCCGTTATGACACCTTCAGTTGCAATTCTTCCCGGTGTGGTAAGTTCAAAGTATTTTTATTTTGAGTTTACTTTTATTACAATCAATCTCCTATTTCATTACTGATCTTTATTTTGTAAGTTCTTGATATGTTTCATCGCTATTTGTATTGTAATTTTAATTAGTAACATTTGTTGTTGCTGTTTAATACTTTCCAAATCATCGTTCATGTTCTCTTTTGTTTTTTAAAAGTCGTTTTCTTGTAGTCAATTTTTTCAAAAAATGATTTATTTTTGGTATAGACAACTGATTATGTCCTTGTTTCCATTTTAGTCGGATACATCGACTTCAGGTGCGGCTGGTTTGACAGCAGATGCATATGCAACTTATTACTATACTGCAACAACTGGTGCGTCGTCTGTTCTCGCACCTGTCATTGTTCCAGCGGCAGTAGATGTCAATTTGTCCGCGTCATCAGGGGTTACCTCATCGGTAGTAACTTCAGTAACCACATCTCTGTCATCAACGATATCCGTTGGACAATAATTTCATAACAATGTGCCACATTCGGTGTTTTTTTCTAATGGCTTTTCATGCTTCCCACTTTGTGTTTATTACATATTTTTACGAAATCATTTTGTTATGGTTTGCTAAATATATATGTATCTATAAGATGGTTTACATTCGTTGCTCATTGTATGTGTTACTCTTTGTATTGTTTAATGGGAACTGTAATTGCATTCACCTAATCTCGAGCTTTTTCGTTTAGATGATGTGGTTCGTGGATTTACGATAATCTTTGTGTATCGTTTGATTAGTTTTTATGATCTGTTAAAGTATTTCTAGATTATGTTTATTCATAATGGATTTTCTATCTCGTTTAGGTTCAATTAACAACCCCGAATGCCCTGGTACGGCCGAGGGTGAGGAGAGTCCGCTCTCCCTCCCGAAATGGCCACATGTATACAGCTACTAACATGGAAGTCCTATTCACTGCTTTCTCGTGGCGGGGGTGTTTACGAAATTGGGAGGATGAAAAGCAAATGTCTGGCGCTTTAAATGGGTTGGTGGACATGGAAGGTCCATCTAGGGGAGTTGGAAAACTCTGATTTCAAACCAATGGTGCACACGGGCTCCAGTGTCCTGCGGGACCATATGGCGTATGAACCAGTCGTTGGTCACCGACTACCATGGGACTGTATCTCCTCACGATGCTCCACTGCCTTGTGGGTCAGACCTTTAGGTCAAGGGCTCGGGGTGTGGCCTCCTAAGAAAACCACCTGCTTCGGTTTAGACACCCGGGCAGTATCACAGACCACACACAAGCCAAGTGACTTGAATGGTGCTTATGTATTTAATGCCCTTTTTTCCAATATTTATGTTCAAATCAAATTTAAGTCTAAAAACGTAGTATGTGAACTTTGTCTAACATAATTAAGACGGGTTTTTCTCTGAATTTCTGTGCCGTAGTATCAGAAAAGTTGACTATTTACCAAGTGAGCCTTCTTTCATCATCATCAATTACTTACCTCTCCGTTAAGTAGTAGTAACACTACCCCATCAGAAATCACATTTTAATCCCGCTTCAGAAATGATCTTATCTATCAGTCAGTCAGTCAGTCAGCTACAACGTAGAACCATGCACTTATGTGCATCGGTCCAGGTTGCCATACCGCATCAGCACAACAAGATGAACACCGGATTCATAACAGTGGTTAGGTAAAAGGTGGTAATATATAAGAGAAAGATTGCATATAGAGATATAGTACAAGAAGAAAGAATTGGTTAGTAGAAAGAAAGATATGAAGCGCTTTTAATCTCTTAGTTTAAGGGAAGAAACCGAGTGTATACACCGACGCCATTGTGATCGATTCTGAGCCATGTCACCAAGAGTCTCCAACCATTGGTTACGATAGTCACGCGGACCCCAACCAAGTAGTCTGCATCTACCAACATGGCTCAGACTAGAAGTTAGTGACTTCAAGCACTGATGCCACGTTTTGGTTTGGCCGCCCCTAACTTTCTTCCAACCATCCCCAACATCGGATAGCATTGCACGTCGTGGTAATCGGTGTTCAGGCATACGTAACACGTGGCCCAACCATCTCAGTCGATGAAGATTCATAACCTCATCAACTGATTTACCATCCTTTCCTAATACCCTGCGTCTAACCTCACTATTACTTACCCGATTATCCCAGCAGACGCCAGCAATATTTCTAAGGCATCTGTGGTCAAATACTAGCAGCTTGCGAGTGTCTTCTACTCTTAATGGCCATGTTTCGCTACCGTAAAGTAAAACAGAACGGACTGCCGCGCAGTATACTCGTCCTTTTATTGATAGACGGATATCTCGCCTTCGCCACAGGTGACGTAAGTTGGCAAAAGCCAAACGAGCTTTTCGAATCCGTGCTGAGATTTCGTTCGATACCAACCCATTAGGGCTGATCAGACTTCCAAGATAAGTGAAGTTGTCAACGCGTTCGACAACTTCACTCCCTATCCTTAGTTCAGGTGTTAACGCAGACCAGTCCTGAAGCAACAACTTGCATTTCGAGGGAGAGAAGCGCATTCCAAACATTCTGGCATTGTTGCTCAGTGCTACCAAAAGACTCTGCATTTTGTCAGCGTCTTCACCAAACAGGACTATGTCATCTGCGTATTCTAAGTCGATAAGTGGACCTCCTGGAAGGAGATCAATACCCGAGAACTCAGTCGACGAGAAAGTTATTTCCATCAGTAGGTCTATGATGAAGTTAAACAAAAATGGGGAAAGTGGACATCCTTGACGGACACCACTTGAGGTTGCAAAAGTAGATGACAGTTCGCCATAAGCTCTCACTCGACTAGTAGTGTTCGAGTAAAGAGCCTTCACAAGGTTTATGTACTTCTGAGGTACGCCTTTCAATGACAGACACTGCCACAGAACCTCGCGGTCTACCGAGTCAAATGCTGCTTTTAAGTCAAGAAAGACCACCATCGTCGGACGCCGATAAGTGTGCCTGTGTTCTAGAACCTGACGAATGGTGAATATGTGGTCGATGCAGCCACGACCAGGTCTGAAACCAGCTTGGTTTTCTCGTGTTTGCAGTTCACGAGTCTTAGTTAGGCGTCTGATAATTATCGAGGCTAGTATTTTAGATATTATATTAGTTAAACTAATCCCTCTGTGGTTGTCACAGGATGATTTTGACCCTTTCTTATATATTGGGACGATAAGTGATTGTGACCAGTCAGATGGAATAACGTCTAACTCCCAGATCTTAGCTAAAATATTAGTCATCCTAAGCGCTAAAATTGGACCACCATCTTTAAAGACTTCTGGAACCAGTCCATCTGGTCCAGCTGCCCTTCCTCGTTTCAGATTATCTATAGCCTTTTGAACTTCAGCAAGAGTTGGGGGACCTACTTCAATGTTCCATTCACGCTGTCTGGGAGTTTATGTTAGATTCCTCATTGTTCATTGAATCTGCTTTTCAGATCTTTAGGTTTTTCAATTCGGAGTAGAGTTACACGAAGCAAAACCTGGGACTTATAGCTACTCTAGTAAACCTGTTGTTTATTCTATAAGTGTTCAAAATGCAATGGTATTTTTTCTCTGAATTTCGTGTGTAAGGATAATGATCAGCTTGTCGAATAACTCATTTCTGACTTAACATTTTCCGAGAATGGTATTTGTTTTTTGTTGAATCTTAACAGTATATTGTATATTATTGACGATAATCATCTATCAGATTCATCTGATAACTTTCTACCTCTATGGTCCTGTTCTCGTAATAATAATGAAAGAATCTACAGAACGTTTGCTCATGCATGTTACGCTTCGACGTTTAACAAATACAGTTTCGTGACTTGAAATATTAGTGCTTTTGTTTTGTTATTTTTTAAAACATTCACATAGCAATAATAACATGACAATAAAAATATAGAGTGATGTTCGGTTATGCTTTCGATTAGTTACGAGGGCTTGTCTCGTGATGGAGTTTGACGATTTGCGTAATGTATGTCCTATCCATTTTCATCGTCTTTTCCTAATTTCTTCTTCAGCTGGAAGTTGGTTTGTTCTCTCCCACAGAAGGCTATTGCTGATGGTATCCGGCCAATGGATGTTGAGTATCTTGCGTAGACAACTATTTATAAATACTTGTACCTTCTTGATGGTTGTTGTTGTAGTTCTCCAAGTTTCAGCTCCATACAGTAGAACTGCCTTGACGTTCGTATTGAAGATTCTCACTTTGATATTGGTTGAAAGTTGTTTTGAGTTCCATATGTTCTTTAATTGTAGGAATGCTGTCCTTGCTTTGCCAATCCTTGCCTTTACGTCTGCATCTGAACCTCCTTGTTCATCGATGATGCTTCTCAGGTATGTGAAGGACTCTACATTTTCCAGAGTTTCGCCATCAAGAGTGATTGGATTGTTGTTTTCCGCTTTGAATTTGAGGACTTTGGTTTTCCCTTTGTGTATGCTGAGGCCTACTGATGCAGAGACTGCTGCTACACTGGCTGTCTTCATCTGCATCTGTTCGTGTGTACGTGATAGGAGGGCTAGGTCATCTGCGAAGTCCAAATCGTCTAATTGATTCTGAGCTGTCCATTGAATTCCGTGTTTTCCTTCAGATGTCGAGGTCTTCATAATCCAGTCGACCACCAGAAGAAAGAGGAAGGGAGAGAGTAAACAGCCTTGTCTTACTCCGGTCCTTACTTGGAATGCATCTGTCAGCTGTCCTCCATGCACGACTTTGCATTGTAGTCCGTCGTATGAGTTCCGGATAATGTTGACAATCTTCTCAGGAACTCCGTAGTGTCGAAGAAGTTTCCATAACGTCCTCCTATCCACACTTTCAAATGCCTTTTCATAATCAATGAAGTTGATGTATAGTGATGAGTTCCACTCAACTGATTGTTCGACGATGATCCGTAGTGTTGCAATTTGGTCTGTGCATGATCGATCCTTACGGAATCCAGCTTGTTGATCTCGAAGTTGGGCGTCTACTGCATCTTTCATTCGGTTCAGCAACACTCTGTTGAAGACCTTCCCTGGTATTGACAGCAGTGTAATGCCTCTATAGTTTTCACATTTGCTCAGATCTCCTTTCTTTGGAATCTTGACGAGGTGCCCTTCTTTCCAGTCCATCGGCACTTGTTCCTCCTCCCAAATCTTTTGGAATAGAAGATAAAGCATGTTTGTAGTTGCTTCGATGTCTGACTTCAGTGCTTCAGCTGGTATGTTGTCCGGACCCGCTGCTTTCCCGTTCTTGATTTGTCTGACGGCCATTCTGATTTCTTCCTTCGTTGGTGGGTTGACGTCTATGGGAAGATCTGTGTGTGCCGCTTCGATGTCCGGTGGATTCATTGGAGCCGGCCTATTCAGGAGTTCCTCGAAGTATTCTACCCATCTGTTCCGCTGTTGTTGTATTTCGGTTATTGGCTTGCCTTCTTTGTCTTTGACCGGTCTCTCTGGTTTACTGTATTTTCCTGCTAGTTTCTTCGTTGTATCGTAAAGCTGTTTCATATTTCCTTCTCTAGCAGCTTTTTCTGCCGTTGTT